CTTGATTGCAATTTTGATATAAAGGTAAGTAACCTTTCATGTCTTCAATTCAGAAATGTATGGAGTTTCTGAAGCTTCAAAATTATATTTAAATATGTTGCTTGAAAAGAGTCACATTGTTGAGTCTCCACGTGCATAAATCAAATTTGGGCAAGTTGCTCCCCAAATTTCTTCTTGCTGAAGATGGTTGGAACTGAGTTATTATTTTGAGACAGATAACACCTTGAAAACTAGTAGACAATGCAATTTAAAATACATAGAAACCCACTTTAAAAAAGACAGAAAATAGTTCTCTCTTTTTTGTATTTTTCTCCAGACATAATAGCATCCAGGTTGCCAGAAAATATTAAATGTCTCCCCCTTGCCCCAAAAAACTTTGCCCACTTTGAATTAAATTGTTTTTGGGCTATCCACCAATTTCTCTTGCTTGTGGCAATTTGCTTATATGTCAAGCATTGTGGGAGGAAACTCATTTTCTCTGAAGGTTTTCTTCTGCAACAACTTAATATGCAATATTTGAATGTCTTTAATGCAGGACTTGGAACTTTTTTTCTTCTGGGTATCTGTACTGTATACTTTAGTAAAGAAATGGCATTCTTTATATTTTCAGAAATGTTAAAGAGTTGGCACTAGGCTTTGTTCCAGAATGCAACTGCTTCATTCTTTGGGGGTTCTTGAGATGGAATTTAAACTACAGTAAAATGCAGCTGTCTAGAAATAAGATTGCTTGGGGACTTCACAACTTGTACATTAAATTATATAATTTAGATAGAATTTAAAACAGCTGGTTCATGTTGAACATGCACATGGCTTTCTGGGATTAGTGAACAGAGATGGTAAAGGTGATATATTTTTAAAATTAATACATTTGCCAGTCCTAGGCTTATTTTCCCCTCCCTAATGTTATTTTCCCATTTCAAGTAAAAATAACTCAGGATCTGAAATTATGGTTTAATTCCAATTTTTATAACTACTTCCAAGTATATCACAATTCCTAACACCTAGAACTGTGGCTTGGACAAAATCTATTGCTGTGGTTTATAATTGAAAGCAAGCATAAAAAGAAAAATGACAAGTATTGTAAAACTTAGGTGCCCAGACAGTGTGTTCATATGATTGAGAGTGCCTTGCATGTGCCATTCAGATATTTTAGAGCAGTGCTAATAAAATAGCAAGCTGGCAGATGACTGGTAATGTTGCTAGAAAAGTGGAATGCAAAAAGAGTGTGTACTCCCACTGCAGTTAATAAGGGTGAACACAATGGTTGTATGAGCATAATTAAAAGTGCATTTTTGTCTTGTTTTTTATTTAAAAAGCAGCTCTCAAGAATTCTAAGCAGCCTGGGGGTGGGATGGGGAGAGCTGAACTCTACAAATGCAAAATAGAATATTTGGATAAGTTTTCTCTTCCCCTATGGTTACTGTTTACACATATGTTAAATTGCATTCAGGATTGTAACTTCATCTGACTGCCTGAGGGGAATGATTTTGAATATTCTTAGCATAAAAGAAACTTCTGACATCTAAGAAAAAAGTAGCAGTTGAGGGAAGATGTTTTACCTGAATGGATCTTTTATTTTCTTACTATCTCAAGCAGTATAATCAAGATGCTTACTGCTAGATCTACTGAATGTATATGTTGGTCTTAATACAGTATATGAAAAACATACTTTTCTCCCAATAAATATATATTTGTGTTTGTAATACTAAACTTTTGCTTAGGAGAAAGGGCATGAATTGCATTAAATTGTCATGGCCAGAAGAATTTTTGATATAGATTAGCTTTATTTTCTAGAGCAGTTGGTTTGTTGCATAGAAATCAGATAGTATAGTTTGAAATAAATCCTGATCATTTCCCAAGCTGCGAACTTTGTTAGTTTCATTCATTATCACTATTCATTATCTATTTTAAATTGTAGTTGCTATGTGCAAGGTGTTTTTATATTGAATACTGAAATTAATGCTGCAAAAGCATTTCTTTGTTATATTCAGGGCTCGGTAGATCTAATAAAATGTTTACAGAGCAAGAGAAACTAAACAACATAGTACAGTAGTCAAATGTTAAATAATCTGTTTTACTTATTTATAAAACTGTGTATTATATTAAACTGCATATTATATTATATTACATTACATTATTCAGTTTATGAAAATTTGCAAATGACAATTTGTAATTGAAATCTTCAATACGTCTGCATTAAACTTCTGTACTATAGTAATTATCCAAAACATACACGGTTATTAGCGAATAAAGCTTATTGAACTGCTTGATAAAACTTACTTCAGAGTAAACATGTTTGGGAATGTTTTGCACATAGTTATTGCCTGTCCAATGGCAGTCCTTAGTTTTAAGATTTAGGAGCAAAGGCTTTCCCTCCTTTCTTCTGTGACACTGATCAAATATATAAATAAATATATTGACCATCTCATATTACCTTTTGAAACTAAAAGAGTGACCTTTGGGCTTTTTGCAGACAGCTGATGACAAACTTGAGACTTGAGCAAGCATAATTCCTTCTATAGCAACTGTTTTTGCTGCATAACAAGTAATACTTCCTTAAATCTAGTACTAAAAGAAATGGCACGTATGTGTGGGAGAGGTCAAGAAAGCATTGGCTAGGAACATACACTAAATCCTGTGTAGGATAACATAGAATAGCTCAGAATTACCTCTAGATAAATTTGTAAACATAATAAAATTGTAAACATAAATGATTGGTTATCTTTATGGACTTTAGCTAACTTGACTGTCTCCCTCTCAAATTTACATATGATTTTGAAAGCGCACGGTAAGGTTGCTTGAAATATTTCTGAAACAAGCCATTAATTAGATAATTCCTGTAGTATTGTCATGGTTTAAAATAGCCTCCTTGCACCTGTTTAAGAACAGCATCCAGGCATATGAAAACTGTAAGCTAAAGATATGCAATTTTTGTAACTTTTACAGACTTATCTGAATGGCTGATGTACAAACTTGTCTGAGTTTCTCTCCCATTGAAGAGAGTCCAGACCTAGAAAGAGATATTGTAAGGTTTGGTTGTCCTTTAAAGCAGCTTATTACCCTGTGAGACAATGCTTGGATGTGTAGAATTAACTATGGAAATATTTGCTTTCTTTCAATATTGAACATGACCTAGTGAATCCAGGATGGGTCTGTGAAACCAATCAAGTTTAATTCTCAGGATCCTATTTACATTCTGGATTAAACTGTAAAATAAAATAGCTGATGTTGGAAACAGCTAATTTGTCTTTTGTAGAACACACTGAAGTTGCTTGAGGCAAAAGGAGGTTTCAGCGGTGTTCTTACATATAAATACAAGTAAATGGGAGAAGGTATTGTGCTCGGTGGTACTAGGTTTGTCAAAGTTCCAATATGGAGAGTCATTGTCAGCAGGGTGACAAAAGGCAAAATATATATCACTCACTTTCTTTTGTACAGTTTGCATAGTATAAGAACAGTTCAGAAATAAAATGAGAAGTTAGTTCAAGATGACAATACTTTTACAAAGCATATATGGGTAGCAGGAGTAAATAATGTATCTCTAATGAGTACTTATTACAAGTGTGTTTCACATGCAGGTTTTGAATGCACAGAGAGCTGGGTTTAAGGCAGCAATTGTTCACAATGTTGACTCTGATGACCTCATTAGCATGGGATCTCAAGACAGTAAGTACAGGTATTAATTCTCTCCTGTTTGAAAACTATTCTGTTTCTCAGTGGTGATGGTATATCATTTTTTTGTTCCCACTAAGAATTCCAACAAAATAAAAAAAATTCTTTCATATGAACTTTGTGGACACATCATTACAATCAAATGAGAGGAACACAGAATCAGATGTATTGTGCCAAGTACTCTTCTATCTTTTAGCCTGTGAATACAAGTAGTTTTACTTAACAGTAATTAAGACTTGAGATTGGGACTGGGATTTCCTGCACTATGCAATGTCATAAAGCACAATGTCACGTGACTGTGCTGATATAGCAGGTCCAGCAGTCCCCAGTTACTGTTGGTAAATGAATCTCTGTGAGTTGCTGATGACCTCATGTGTCTGCAACTTTCAATTTCATGATGGTTTCTCCATTAATATTGTTTGTGGGAAGCTGGCAGGGAAAGTAGCAAATCACAATTGGCAATGGAATGCTGTGACAGTCAGAAATTCAGGCTGGTTGCCAAACACTCAGATCATAATCATGTGATCATGGCCAGAACTTTGAGCACTGGTTGTAAATACCACTCATTTAGCATCGTTCTAAATTTGAATGGTTGCTGAATGAGTGGTCGTTAACTGAGGGCCAAAAACACAAAACTATAACTGGGACAGATTATAGATTTGAAAATCTGTCATATGCCAGGACAAATAAAAGGTTTAATGTTGGAAAAATGCCCAGTTAGGTAAGGAACCAAAACATTTAGAGAAGGCAGGCCCCACTGTGTCCCCCACAGACCTTCCCTCCCCATTCACACCAGGTCCCCAAAGGGCTTGGGCCTCTTCCCCATCCCCATCATGCACTAACCTTTTGAACGTCTCTGGACCTCACATTGGGGAAGATCGGCAGACCCCTCCATCCCTTAGCGCCTCTGGGCTGCATGGCTGGGTCCTGAAAGTGGCTACCATTTTCAGAGTAGCCTCAATTCCTTGCGACTGCACTGAAATGGCAGCCACTTATGATGTGGTCATGCAGCCCAGCAATGAAGTGATCTGCTTCGGCAATTTCTGCAGCACTATGCAAACCACATTAGGGAAACAGCATATTGCTTCATTGCCGAGATGGGCAACACATAAATTTAATAAATATCACAGTTGGATTAGTGATTACTAGTTATCATCTTTTTTTTTAAACAGTTGAAATTTTAAAGAAGATTGACATTCCATCAGTTTTCATTGGTGAAACATCTGCTAAATCTCTTAAAGAAGAATTTACTTATGAAAAAGGGTATGTATGAGATGCCTCACAAACCTTCTACTTACTATGGTGATATACAGAACAAAATATTCAGCTTAAGTGTAAGGATGGTGTTTTGCTTGCTTTTGATGCTGAAATTGCCACAGATTTAAGTATATTTCCATATTTCAAAACCTTCTATTTTCTTGTGAAAGTTATATGAAATTTGTAGGTTTCAGTGTTCAAATTTTAAACAAATT